TATATAATAATTTATAAATTAATATAAATTGTATAAATTTTAATTAAGAAAATATACACTCCAAAAATATTTTAATTTCATTCTTTACCAAAAACTATTTTTTTTAGTTTTAGCAACTCATTTAAATTTACAATTTTCTCTCATATTACTTTTTTATTTGTTCACGATTTACATCATCATATGAATTTAAGTTTATCCAATACCTAGCTTCATATTATGTTATATATCTAATTCATTACTTGAATATTTATTATATCTTTCATATTTTGTTGTTTATGTTTGAATTCTAACATTCAATTATTTGATATTTCAATGAATTTACAAAAAATGTTAATATCATTTGAATTTGCATTTAGAAAAAACCATAAATATTATACTATTTCAAAGAAAACAAAACAAATCCATAAATCAAAAAGTAAAGCATCCAAATTAGATTCTACTAATTCCTATTTTGTTGGCTCTTGTATTTTTGAGATACAATTATAAAATGTAAATGTTAAGAAATTTAAATAGGAAATTTCTTCAATATAGATATCAACCCCATTTTCAATTGTTCCAAATTAGCATTAGAATAGATGTTATTTAAATAATAATTTATTTTACGTTTATTAATTGTTTGTATGTATTAATACTATTATCATAATTCTATCTCAATCTCACTCATTACTTTGAATTTCTTCTTATATTTAAAAATTATGTTAGAATTACAATAAATTCTCATTATTCTCTTAGCCTCCTACTTCTATGTAATTAATTTCGTTCAAAGATGTTTTTAATTATTAGAGCTTTCCTTATAAATCTGTCTGCTTTTTGGTTTCTTCACTTATTTATGTATGTATTTTTTTAATTTGATCTTTTATTTTACTTTATTCATTTTCTATGCGTCTTTTTGATCTAAAAATTTATGTATTTAACCCTTTAAGTTTTCTTTAAATATATAAATATTCATATACCATATATATCTTATAAAGTTAGTCCTTTTAACTGATTTGTGGTGAGTTATTTGAAATACGAATGATTTGGGAAAACAAAATAGAGAACATTAATCAACCATTCTCTGTCTGGTAGCATTTTTGATGTAAAATCTAAGTCTATTTCTTAACCAACTAATTAATGAAGCTCTCTATATAAATCTATTTTTTTGGCTTGTTTAATTAGGTATGCTATTTTGATATCTTTGGCTTGACATATAAAGACTCTCATTAAAGCAACTCCTAATGAATACTCGCTTGTAATGCAGGCAGATTTTAATTTTGGTAAGTAATACCCTTTCAGCACGAGTCCTGTATATGAAGATTTTAAGGATCCAACTAACCGATTGGCCTCTTCAATTGTAATAACCTTATATGTGTAATATAAAAAAAATTATAATATTCGTAATATATAGTAATATGGGAAAAGATAAATATCACTTACATTTTATGAGTCCATTGTACTTTTTATTTAATATGTGGAAAATATATTTTGTTTTCAAACTAGAAATTTTACATTCCAACTAAATTGAATGACGTCGCGATTATATTGAATTAATATTTTACGTCACTTATATTTTGAAATCAATATTTATAGTTTGAATTCGAAATATAAAGTCCAAAGCAATTCTCTTAATTTAAGCTAATATTGATTCTTCTGTTATAAATATTGAAAATTTAAATCAATGTTAAAGAACAATGAAAGCATGATATTGAGTCTTCTGAGGAAAACGACTTTATTGAAAATCATATTGAATAACATGAGAGTTTATTTGGATATATAGATTGCAAACTTTAATACTCAGTTTATCTAGGGACTTCATTTCAACTTCATCATAGATGCAAACAGGAATGTTATTAATTAAATTAATTTAATTCATTGAGTTAATAACTCGAGCAAAAGGCAGCTTTAACATTTTCTAAACGAAACTGAAGCAAAATAGTATTACAATTCACTCAAAAATCAAGGAGTTATTCAAAAAAAGTGTAAAATCAAGAAAAAAATACATAAGGTTGATTATAATTGGTAAATTGTTACCTGATTAGAAAACTGACTGATAATAGATATACAAAAGAATATATATCTGCATTGACAGGACTTACATAAAATTAAATATATTATAAAGAAAAGCAGGTTCCAAATAGTAAATTTTATTAAACTTAATTTCATTATACATAAACACATATTGATTGGTTAAGATAGCATGTTGAACAATCAGAAGCTAATTAATTATGGAATTCATAAATTATTTTCAAATCATTTATTGAGGAATTCTAATTAGATAAGCAAAAAGTCTCATTACAAACCTTCAATAATATACTTAAAGAAAGTGGACTAACTTTCAGATAAACTAGATAAAGAAATTAAAGATATTTTCTTAACAATATATAACAATTGAAGGTAATGTATTGTTAACAATTATTATCATATATTAAGGAATAGTTTTTAATATTTTAATTAGATGAATCTAATTTCACACATTAATCTACAAATCCAAAATGCTGGTAAATCAAGGAAAAATAAAAATATAGGCGTGTGGTTCAAATGAAGTAGCGTATAAAGATTATCGGATGTATAGGGTAAAATGGTTATGCTAACTTTTAATTATGTATTGGAAATGTAAATTAGTATATTTTTGGCTTATATATGAATGCTTTAATAAAGGACATCTAAAATAATAATAAAAACAAAAATTTGTTAGAATTATGGATAATTATTGCTCAATTCATCATAGTAAAATAATAAAAAATGTTTTTTTTGAGTAAATTAATGTTGAATTTTTGGCACCTTATTCTCCAGAACATAATCCTATTGAAGGTGTGTGGAAATTATTAAAATAGCATGTGTATAAATGTTCATTAACAAATTTTAATGTTAAGCATAAAATAGTTCATAATTATCTGAAGACTTTAAGTAAACATATAATTGATAATTTCATTTAACATAGTTGGAAAGAAATAGAAAAATCATTATTGAGATGATAATCGATTAAAATAATTGAAAATTAATATAAATATTAATCCAAAACATAATTTAATAATTATTTCGAGTCTACATAATACTAAAGGTAATTAATAATTGTTTATTATTTAAGAATATTTACATAATACTAAAAGTAATTACAAATTGCAAAAATTAAAAAAATTTTAATTCTTGTATAAATATTCAATATGACTATTTTTATAATTATTCCTCTCTCATTTATATTTGGATTACTTTGATTATTGTTATTAACAAACATACATCATATAATTTATAGCAATACTTTTAAATGGTTTATTATCAAAACAAATATCATCTCAAATGTAAACAAATTATACTAAATTCTAAATCTAACTATGTTAGCAATTATTTTTCTTTGAAATTAAAAAATATTTAATTAAATTTGATTTTATGAAAAAAATGGATGTCAAATTCCTTCAGAATTAATGAAACATTAATTTAATAATTTTTAACACATTTAATTGCCCAACTATATAATCTTTTTAAAAGTGAAAACATATTTTAATAGTTCAAAATATTAACCTTGAAATAGATTATTCAAAGGGTTCATAAGATTGGATCTTATCATCCGCAAGTATTCGATTGAAAGCACAAATCAAATTTTTTATATACTTCATTTTAAATATACATTGGTGATAAGAAATACTTCATTTATAATAAAAAGTTAATTTTTCTTATAACTTTTGGATGCTAATTATTTTCTTATCAATAAACCTTCTTAATTTTATTATTATAAAACAAAATCCCATTTTACAAAGATTTTCTTCAAATAAGTATTAAAATTAAGTAATAAATTTTGGAATTTATTTAATTATTATTTTTTTTAGTTACTATGTGCAAATAATTTTATCTATTTATAAATAGAGATGATATATAGTTTGAATAAATTTTAAAATCAATTATTTTAAAATCACTTTAGACTTTTGAGTATTATTATAAACTCATATTAGTTTTTATTGATAATTTTTAGGTTTAATTTTCTATATATTGATAAATCAAGATAATGTATTATATAAATAAAATTGTTTCTATAATAAAGTCTAAAAATTTTAGATAATTAGAAGATTATAAATTTCTATCTTCCTTTGATAATTTTATGATAATTCAATAATCAAAAATAAATATTCATCCTTTCTTTGAGGATTATCCTGGCTTTTTAATCTAAATTGATTGTTAAGGAATGTGAATATTAGGCATTTTTTCATTAATACTATCTGCCAATTTCATGTAATTAAACTCTTGCAAGGCTTAAAATATAAAAAATAGATACCATCTGTGATGGCTTCTTTTCCTTGGAGTAGCAATCCTTTAGGCAATCTTTTATCTGGACAAGCTCCTTTTAGTTATACAATACTTTCGTTTTCTTCTCTGAAAATACAAATATATTTGAAGACCTTAGAGTTTTTTGCATTTTCATCATGGTGGCCACAAATTTTAATCTTGATCTGAGTTTTTCTTTACCAGATTTGGAGAGTTATTTTTAAAGCGATTTATTTTTTTCAAAATTTTTTATTTTTTCAGATTAAGTGATTTATTTAAACTTTTCAATATCTTCTTGGTTAATTTTTTCATCTCCACTTTCTTGATCTTAATCCTCATGTCTTAGTAACATATATAGCATTTCAGTAACTCAGATTGAAAGCAAAAAATTTACCTTTTTCTGTAACAAAGGGTATTGACCAGGAGAATACATCCATAAAGTTTGGTAATAAATATGGATGAGGAGTGTCTTTAAATTACTAAATGTTGAGGGTGTTATTTTCAAATTTGATTACAGCTCCTTTGTTTTTATAAACATCACAATAATTAGGTGCTGAGAATATTGTAATAACAACTGGAAAATCTGAACTTCCTTTCCATCTGTGCATTTTATATCCATCTAATTATGCTTCATGAGCTCTGATGACAGAAATTAGGTTATTCCTTTAGAGAAATCTATGAACTGCATCAACTCCAAAAAACCAGGAGCAACCTCTGACTTCATTTCCTCTCCATCCATTTTCCAATGATCCTTGATCATTATCAACTGGGTCACTCCATAAAATATCACAAAATAATCCACTTCTAGGTGGTTCATGGTATCTATCAATTTTTTTGATGTCTTCAAGCTAAAATCGGAAATACAGAACCTTGTTACCGTTTTTAAATCTGGAGAGATACCTCCATGAATAGCTAGAAACTTGTTGTTAACTACACAGGCAAGGGGAAATAGATCAAAGGAGTCCATCAGTAAATCGTACGTTTCTTGGTCATACTTATAGAGGCCTTGATGAGAGGGTTTTTTTTTGTATACATTCGTCCTTAAAATTGAAAAAGCTTGTAAGCTGTCTACATTCATGGTTTCCTCTTAAGAAAAAAACAGTATTTGGAAAGTTGATTTTAATTGCATAAACTAGGACAATCACTTCGATGGAAAATGAACCTCTGTCAACAAAATCACCCAGAAATAGATATTTTGTAGATTCTATGTTGCCTCCCACATCAAACATTTTCACTAAATCATAATATTGGCCATGAATATCCCCAACAACTGTTAAAGGATCATGCAAATAAATGAGATTTCCCTCATTTTCTGATGTTTTAAGTAAAAGTTACTAAATATTTTATTGCATTCTGAAACTAATTTGATAAGATCTTCTTTTGCGATTCTTCCCTCTTTAGATAAATGATCTAATAATAATCTCCAGTCAGGTTTATCTAATGTTATTATGTTAGATACTTTTTAGCTTGTCTGGAAATATGAGTTAATGTGAGAGAGGACGATGAGGAGGTGGCTTTAATGTTTTCACAACTCTATCATGCGATGGATCTCTTAATAATTCCATAATAATAATAAAATAATTAATCACACTCATTGTCAATAAATTATATACAACAAAAGTGATCATAATTTAAAGTTTTTTTGGCTTCTTACAGTAGGTAATGTACTTTATTCTGATAACATTTTTCTTTCTCTTGGCCTATTGGATCTTGAACCTATAGAGGATTTCAAATCTCTAAAATGATTATATTAATACCTTGAATTGGCTTTAAGAGTTTTTAATTTTTCATAATTTATTCCAATTTCATTTTATTAATCTTTGCCTACAACATTATTTTTATATAAGGATAAGTTAAATTAATCAACAGGACTTTTAACTCCTTTTAATGTGTTTTCTTAAGAGCTCTTTGATGTTTATTAATTAATAATTTTTGGTAATTCTTCAGGTTCCTCAAAAAAGGCTTGTGCCAATTATTCAAATATTTTAGTAGAGTTAATTCTATTTATTCAATAATTAATATTACTTTATAACTCCCAATTAATTGTTTGATTACTGGGTAAGTCTCTTGAATCTATCATAATTGAATCCCTTGCCTTTATCAATCTCTTTTATTGGCTTATCTTCTGCATGAACTTAGATATTATTGTTAATTGTTGAATTCATTTATTGAGTAAGACTAAGATATTCATTTCTTGCCATTCTTAGTGCTGGATTATTCATATTTTGTAAATCAACCGTATTTGGTCTGGTGCCCTCTTTGATTCTACCTTCATGAGTTACTACAATTCCTGGTTATAAATTCATATTCTCTACAACTAAAGGAGCTATTTGATTGAACTTGAATGTATCTTTTTCCTTATCCTTCTCATCATCAGTTTTCTTATTATTCCAAGGAACTTTATTATATTTCTTTTTTGGATTTATTTTTGTAGATTGATCTTCTTCAAATTTAGATCTTAAAAAATATTGAATTGTACGCCAAAGTTGATGCTGGAGGAGGTAATTTTGTTCCTTTTGCAGTGTTAACAGATATCAATTTTCCATCATAATCATAAGTATATTACTTGGATTTCTTATCTTTGGCCATCAATTCATATTTTAATTATTCTTCCTTTTCTTCTTTAAGTTTCCTTCTTTTTTCTGCCTCATTTAATTCTAATTTCTCTTTTGTTTATCTTTCCTTTTCATTTCTCAATTGCTCTTCTGTTATACTAATATCTAATGGATCAACTAAATCTATAGGCATAGGATCTAACTATTTCTTTTCTTTAATTGTTTATTAATCCTAAAATTATTAATTGAATTACAAAAACTTTAGATCTTGCAAATGTCATTGGACTTGATGTCTAACAAGTATTAGGCCTATTTTCTGGTTTGATTTCCATGTTAATTTTAGATGTCAACCATTATTCCTGTTAAATGTGTAACTTAAAATAATTAAATTGTGTACAGGTTCGAAGTCCTCGCCTAACCCACCACTTTGAATGTCTCTAATGGGATTTTCAGGTTTATAGAATGCTTGGGCCAAAGGCATTACTAAAAGATTTAATGAATTGGATGCAGAGACAGTAGGTAACTTTCTTAAGATTTCATTTTCTTATGCTTTGTCAATAACTTTCTTTATCAAGCGATTAAACATTTCTTTAATATGATACTCACCTTCAATTTAGAAGACTTGGGTTGATTAAGGATCCAAAGCTGTATAATACTCATAACAATTCATTTTTGCCATGTCTATTTATTCTAATTCTACATCTGATTGTGTGTTTGATTATTCAGCAATACTAGAAAGATCGACTTAAGAAGGTTTGTAATTATTTTATTTCATATATAAATTAATAATTAACGATTATGCTTAAATAATAACCGTAATCAGCAAAGAGTGGAAATGCTATCAAACAAAAAAAAGAAACTCTAGAAAGATTTGCTTACTGCAATAGTTAATAATTATTCCAAAATAATATATTTGATCTGAGATAGTTTATAAAATAGAATTATGAAAAATATTGTGAGTTATTGGATAGAGTTGAAAATGCTAAACTTATGGTTAAATAAAAAAAAGAGAATTTAGATTAGCTGAAGAGTAAATCTGAAAACAAAACTAATAAGCCGAGAGCTAATCTATGTGTATTAGATGAATTATCATAATTAAAAAGGTAAATAGAAATTAAGCAGTCTACAAACAATGAATTGAAATCTTAATTAGAATAAATGAATTAATGGACTAAAAAATAAGACTTCTTTTAAGAATATTAAGAAATTTGTAAATAAGTTGACGATTTAAGAATATAAAATGATTAATTATTAAAAGCATGAATAATGTGCCCGTTTTTCATAATATTAAAAATTAAAATTATGAGAGCTCTTACCATAATTTGCTTAGTGGCTGCCGTATTTGCTTTAGATACAAATAAATTTGCTGTCCTTCTTTAGGCAGGAACAAGAGGAAATGATGCTGTCGAATCAGTTTACAACCTTTTGCGAGATCTTAAAACAGAGAATGTTAATGTCTAAGCTGCTGCTGATAAAAAGAATAACACAGATGAAGGTATCTTAATACTCTTATATTCTAATAGAAATCTTCTCTTAAGTTATTGGTGACCTGACAAATGTTGCTTCACTTAACAAATAATAATGGGAAGCTTTAGGAGCTGTCAGAACAGATGTTGAAGCCTAAATTAGAGTATACTTTATACATATTCTTAGGATGGATATTCATGGTTAACATGGGCTGAATCAAGACTTGCTGAAATCGAAAGAAGAAATGCTCAACTTCAAGATTAAAGATGTTGGGCCAATGGACTTTTTGTTAGATCTCTTGCTGATCATGCTGATGCTATTGGTGTTGTTTAACTCTTGGAATAAGATGTTGCAGGTTTTCTCACTAATAATGCTGGAGTCGAACTTGTTGAAAAAGCTTAAACAATTGCTGATAAATTATCTGCATACAGTCACCTTTTCTAATAAGATGCACTTTAAAAATTCCAATCACTTGCTGAAGTGAAAAGAGAAGGAACTACAGGAGAATAAGTTCTTGCTATCTTATAAGATTTATAAGGTGAATTGGAATCCACTCTAGCAACACTCTAAGAATAAGAAATCCATGCTGCTTTTGCATTAGCTAAATATGTTTCAGATACCAATGCTGAAGTCGCCTGGTTAAATTCTGAACATGAAAGAAGAACTTCTCTTGTTGAAAAATTAGAAACTGTATCAGTAACATCTATTTCTCAAGTAACTCCCTGCCGTCCTTGCTCAATAAGCTAAAGCCCTCAAATTGTGGAAAGATTCTTTGAATGCAGTTGCCGGAGCTACTGCTGATTTGGAAGAAAAGAGAGAATTCTATGCTTCTGAAACTGCTAGAAGATAAGGTATTATTCTAATTCATTTCAAGAGGAAAACGCTATCATCGATGTTGTCATTTAACTCTTCAAAGATTAAGTCAGATCATTAGCCTCATAAACTTCCCTTGGAAGAAAGTGATCTGTTCACATTAATAATAATAATATAAACAAAGCTATTGTAATTCCTCTTTCTCAATTAATTTTATAATTTTTTGTATGGCTAGTATTTTCTTTCTTATTTTTTCAACATATAGTTAAAATAATCAAATATCGTTAAAACTTTATCTAGAAAGTAATACAATAATATATCAATTAAAATGATAATAGATCAAATAATAAAAAAAGAGTTTAAATTTTAATGATATTCTTATAATCTATATGAATATATTTATGTAATATCCTGCTATGCAATGTTTTTAATTTTATTTACATTTATATCTCTAAAAATGTAATCTTTTTTTTAAAATTAAATTACTTTTCATTTTAGAATTTTATAAACCTAAATATCTTTATCTTAATAATCTTACACAAAAATAAATAATTTCATTTAATTTTACTGGAAATTCAGCTACTAAAGGAATTAAAATGATTAATTAATAAATTATGCAACTAATTAGAATTTTTAATTCATTTATATAATCAGATAGACTGTAATTTCATACATCCCCCGATTATTAGTCTGTAGTTGGGCTTAAAATTTAATTAAATGCTATCATTTTGATAATACGCTTTAAGTTTCTTAATTTTTTTTGATTTCATTCTTGAATTTCAAAATTACTGATTTAACATAATTGTTCAAATTAAAGTTAGACAATTAATTTCGAATTTCTAATCGAGCCCATATTTATATTAATACAGACAAAGTTATACTATTTTTAGATCATAAATTTCTAAATATGAACATTTTTTATTTGAGTGAAATGATTTACATATTTATTCACAATTTTTCTTAGTTTTTTGTTTTTCAAAAAAAACATTAAGAATAATAAATAGCATTTAAGCTAAAATATTTTAGTTGCAATTTAACTTTTGAGAAAAATTTAAATAGAAAGTTATAAAAAAGGAATATGGATGAAAGTAAGCTTCTTATTTCTTTGCATTGTTATTCTAATAAGAAAGAAAAGTAAAATTTCCAAATTAATGCCTTAATTAATTAATAAGTGATATCTCATTTCCTTATCTTTTAATTAATTAAAATTAAACTTGGAACTTATTCTCATAATATTCGATGTTTAAGTTGAACAGTAATGAGCATATATAAGAAGAAATAATATCAAAGATAAGTCATCTATAATTAAGCGAAAGTACTTAATATAAAAGCATTTTAGCTGATGATGACAATTCTAAATACGGTAGCCCCGCTTTAGATTCGAGACTCTTGGAAGTGATTAGAGAGCTACCCCATCATTTAAAATAAAAATTATACAGTTTAATTCCTCAAACAAATTATCAGTTGATTAAACAAAATGATGATAGCATTTATTATGGAATATTGGAAAATTAATAAAAATAAGGGGCAGGAATTTAAATATGGCCAAAAATAGGTAATTTATTAGAAGGGTAATGAATATATCAAAATATTTAGATTATGGGAAAATGATTAATTAGAGGGCTATTGCAGAATGAATTATGCGAATGGAGATATGTATTAAATATTTATAAAATTAGTTTTGAATGTTAATTTAAATAAGGGAAAACTAATGGTTTCGGTATCTTTAAATCTTAAAAAAAATTAGTGAAAGGTAAGATAATGAAATATGTTATAGGACTTTGGATTGATAATACAATATAAGGAGAAGGATAGGAAATTAAAAGCGATGGAACAAAATATTTTGGTTAATTCTAAAATGGAAAAAAGGAGGGGAGAGGTATTCTAATATTGAAGGATGAATGCAAGTAAATATATATATATATATTTTTAGATACGAAGGTTAATTCAAAAACAATACATTTCATGGTGAAGGAACCTTTTAATGGAATGATGGCTCTGTTTATACAGGAACTTTTACAAAAGGATAAATTTTAGGATTTGGTTAGTATATGAATAGTAACAGAATTCAAATGATCGGTCATGTAATATAGAGATATAATTCAAGTTTACAGAATTGAAATAGCCAAGAGTAGACTAAAAGGAAATAAATTAGCATCTACAAACTATTATTTTTGTTAATTAGTAAAACTAAACTTTAATGATTGAAAAAATTCGTACTCTCTGAATTGGATTTTTGATAGTCATATTAATATATATCTTTATTTATTTGTTTATTAGTACTCTAATTGATTATTATAGTCAATTAATTAGATAAAATTCATCAATTCATTTCATTTAGCAAAAAGAACTTGACAAAAACTAATTCTTTCAAGTTGAACATCTTAAGTAGGATTAAAAATGAAGTATTTTAAATATATATATTTAGAGTTCTTTATTGTTTATGACTTAATGTTTGAATCTACAAAGAGATAGAATAATTTGAAGAATATTTAAAAATATAAAAACTCTTGATAACGCCATAATCTATCGATCTAATCGTTATCAGCCTTTAAGACGACAATTTTAATGTTAAAAGGTTAATCATAATCATTTTATTTAGTCTTTTCGAAAAAAACACTTTTAATATATATTTCAAAAATTAAGAATATTTTTTAATTTTATAAATTTCTGTTTTATGTATAAATTATTTAATTTAATACTCATCATTACTTTGTTAGGGGCTATAATTATAAATTATTTTTAAATTGCTAATTTTATACATGGGTTGGCATCCCTAAAAATTAATTATTCTACAATTAATTTTATCCTTATTATAATTATTAACCCTATAGTTATCCTTATTAAAATTACTATCCTTATATTTATTAAAATTGTTATCCTTATATTTATACTTTTTAGAATTATTATCCTTACCCTTAATTTAAAGGTAATTAATTTAATTTCTAAAACTAATTATTTTTAACTGAAGGATTTATTTATCTTTCTAAAAAAGTTATAGTTTAATTTATAATATCATTGAAATTTTAATTTCCATTATCAGCTTGTAAATCCATGTAGTTTTAAATTGCCTTTTTTAAATTAGATTTCATATCATTCAATTTCTGCAACTTATCTTAATTTTCAATAGACTTGATTTCAAAAGTAGTTTAGAAAACTAAATTTTTTTAATTTTCAACCTTTTCTAGTAAACTAGGAACGAAATTGGTGTTATTCTGTGGAGTTGATTATTAAATATTTTTAATAGGATAAGGTAAGAATTTTGGCAATAATTCTTTTTAAACATAATCTATATTAGGTCTCTTATCAGGAATTGGATCAATCATTTATTTAATTAAAGTTTTTAATTCCTATTTAATTTATAATTAATTAATTTTAAGATGAACTTATTATTAATTATTACAATAATTAAGGATTTATTATTATAATTCCCCTTTAGTTTTACCTTAAAATAAAATAATGATGAATACCATCAAATAAAGGTTCTCCTTAAAATAATTCAAAGAATAAACATCCCAAAGACCAAATATCAACAGAAGCCTAATAATTGTCTGATCCTTTGATGATCTCAGGAGCTTAATAAAGAGGTGATCCTATCATTTTTGTAAGTCTTACATTTTCTTCTTTTTTTTTAATTAAACCAAAATCAATTAATTTAAATGTTGTACCTACTTAAATAAAATTTTCAGGTTTAATATCTCTATGAATCAATTATTATTTATGAAGAAACGCAATAGATTAAGAAATCTAATATTAAATGGTTAATTATTACTTCTTAACAAATTTTAATTTTTTATTCTATTTATAATTTATTCTTTAAAACAGAAAATAAATCTTTTCCTCCAAGTTCCATAATTAATACCTATTAACCTTATGATTCAAATCTTTCATAAACTTTAATTAAATTGCTTTTTATAAATTAATTTTATTCATGATTTTTTTAATAATCAATTAAAAAATCAATAAATTAAATCTCATGATCTTTCATTTTTTATTAAATTTTAAAAGCAATATCTTTATTATAAAATTTTTCATTTTTTGGTGTTGCTTAATA